TACACTATTTCATCGTTGCTGTTGTATGATTGGTGTTTAGCTACGGTATTAAGCGTCTACAGCACCTCCGCTTTTAGGGTTGACGTAGACCCAAACGTCGCCCGGAGGTCCCCCGGTGTTGTTGCGGGAGCTGCTGCACTAGATAACGCTGCACTAGCTAATGCTACATTAGCAAAACAAACGCTAATTAATTTGCAAAAGGTGCAGCGGGCTTCAAACACGTTCCCCTCCACTGGTTTCAACCAAGCACTAAATTAGATGTTTTCCAACCAAATACGGTTGAACTGACACTTCCCCTTATTAATTTGCAAGTAGATTAAAAGATACATGAGTTTCTGACTGCCGCAAGCTGTTGCTTGGTTGCTAGCTGGGTGTTCTCCGATAAGGGGCCGGGGAAAACAAAGTTAGTGATTACTGGTTCCTTGTTGATTTATTTCAATACAAATTGTTGGGGGGAACTGAAAGGCTATTACCGTACTGGTTACTTTGCAGCCCGGACATTTCCCCCAAAACACATTTAGACGCGATCTCAACACAGAAGTACCTTTCAAATCCGATCCTTTTTAAGACCTTCTAAATCATATTTAAGACCTTTCTTATTTTTTTGGTCATATTTAAGACCTTTTTAAGGCCTTACATTCAGATTATCAAATTTAAGACTTTTTAAGACCCCGCGGGAACCCTGGTTGATGTATAACTGTATAGTATCTTAATTATTTAAAATATAAGGTGACTAAAAATGGCAACTGTATTTTCAGTTTTGGCAACCAAAAGCTGATGCCTGGTTGCCAGCCTGGCAACCACTTTTAAAAGTTAGCGTTGAGCCCTGAACTCATGTCCAATGTGTTGAAACATAGCTGCTGCAACAAAACCATTTCCCAATTTTAGATCAAATCAATCAATCTACTCTAATCTAAGACTAGTGTCCTATGAATGGGTGTCATAATGTAAAATGCCCATTTAAATGTAAAACTGTATAACAGTACATTCTAAATAATGGATTGAAATTATGAATTGTACTTAATTCTATCATCATTTTTCTCCTTAAATGTTAAAAAGACTGCTGACTGACTGTTTTTAAAAAGGTAACACTGATCAGTGTGAAAGGCAGATAAGAAAGTAACCTTTTCCAGCTGGGTCTCAGAGCCACTGAAGCCACCTCCAATGTCCAGGACATTCATGTTGAAACCGATCTCCTCCTGAAGCAGAAAAACGCTTGTAAATGTGTAACCGAAACCAAGTACTGAGTCATTCTTAACCTGCCACAAGTGTCCAAAAACATCAAGTAGTGTCGTTAACAAAAAGGCCAACTGAGAACCTGCCAAAGGGCACACTAG